CTATCTATCTATCTATCTATCTATCTATCTATCTATCTATCTATCTAATTTTTTCATATGCATCTTTCACATGATAAATTATAAAATCTTTAAAAAGCACAATATTAATATTATTTATCTATTTATATTAATAAACAAGTGAAAATAAAAGGGCAAATATTTAAAATATACTTTAAAACATTTTTGCTGAATTTGCAGTTGCTTTTGCATACACAAAAAGCACATCTTTAACTACTGCACATGTTGTCAGGGAATAATACCGATCTTAAAAGCTGTTCAACACTTTCTTCTTTACACTGGCAGGGGATGCATTTAAACTGTTATCTTTTGGATACGGTTTCGCGCGCCTCACACATTTAACAGATGGTTTAGTTGACATTGTACGCCATCAAGAGCCTGCACCTGTTATTTTTTCCAGCATGATAACGTGATAAAACGAAATAGGTTTGATGTTCCATTTGCACATTAAAAAAATAAAATGATGTAAAGTTAAATGTCAAGGTTATTAAGTTTTTACACAGGGGTAGTAAGTTCACATGTCCTTTCGGTTTGTAAATCATTCATCAATAGACGACGATTCTGGACTGATTATGGGGCTTGATCCACTTGGACTCCAGGTTTTTGCATTTAACTTGACCTCAGCGCTTTGAAGGTCTTCCAGTGTGAAACTGATATAAATAGTAAAAAGCAAACCGCATCTTGTCAGTTGGCTTTGTTACATTGCGGTCTTCCAACATGATTTGGTTTGTGGCTCTTCTTTCCAGCTTTGGTGAGGCTGCAGCAAAATCTATTAAAACTAACTTTTGATGCAATTTTTTTAATTTTTTTTGCAAACATCTCAACCGCCACTGTGTCTTCTGTTTCTTTTTCTAAAGGGCTGATTTGTGCTGAAACACCTTTCAACCACAATCTGCTCAATAACAGGGTCATAGGAGGCAGTGATGCCAAACCAAACACCTGGAAATGGCAGGTAAACTGTTCATTATTATTATTATTGTATAGCATCATCTTAACTCAAGTATATTAAATATTCTTTTTTTTGTTTGTTTGTTTGCTGTCAGGTTTCCCTGCAGTTTGATTCATATTACGACGGCTCTTTCTATCACATCTGTGGAGGAACCGTTGTTGACAGTTTCTACATCATGACTGCAGCTCACTGTATCCTCAGGTTTGAGTCTAAACGAGCCGATCATAATTTCTGCTGGCTTGGATCAATAGGAATCATTTATTGTTGATTTTATTTATGTATTGCTTATTTATCAGCATGGAGGCCAGTCAGTACCGCACGGTGGTGGGTGAGTACAACCTGTTTGAAAATGACAACAGTGAGCAGTTCATCCCTGTGGAGAAGATTATAGTTCACCCTGAATGGGTTGGAGATCTTGGCAAAGGGTAACACATCTGCATTCCTGATCAGCTTTATTGAAATCTATCATGCATTCACAAATGCTTTCTAACGTATGTTTCTCTAAGGAATGATATCGCTCTTTTGAAACTGGCCACTCCGATCTATGCCAATGGTTACGTGGAAATTGCTAACCTTCCCTACCCTGGCCAGATGCTGCCTCATGGTTTCACCTGTTACATCACAGGCTGGGGGTCAATGGACCGTGAGTATCCGTGCACGCATTATAAACGCACACTTTGATGCAATGAAGAAATTAAAATATATAAATATTTTACCAACTCAGACGTTGGAACCACCCCAGACAAACTACAAGTGGCTCCCATAAATGTGGTGGAGCACGCCATCTGCTCCACACATGAGTGGTGGGGCAGCCTTGCTCTGAGGACGATGCTGTGCGCCGGAGGGGATGGAATCATATCCGGCTGCCATGTACGGAGAACACGGTCCTTAAAGCAATTTTAATATGATTTAGAAAAATAAAAAGTAGATATTTAGCGATCATTTCAAGGAATGTGCACTTCATGAGTTCTCTCTGTGCTTTTTTTATTCTGCTGCTGTCAGGGCGACTCTGGAGGTCCCCTGAACTGCCTGACTGATGGAGCCTGGAGAGTCCACGGTGTCGTCAGCTACGGACCAGCCGGCATGTGCAACCAAGTGTCTAAACCCACAGTTTTCACCAGAGTTTCATCCTTCATTGACTGGATGTACTCTGTAAGCCTCCCCAAATGACATAATTGACGATTACATCCCTAAACTGATGAATTTATCTGTTTTTTCTTTCTGTTTTCAGGTTACGGGAGGAAATCTTTAGACAGCAGAGTATTAACATTCAGATGGAGCCAGTCAAATAAAATTCATAAAATATTTACACTTCTGTGTAACTTTTAAGTTCTTGAATTTAAAAGTTAGTGAATGTTTCTCAAATTAGCAATAAAGCACACCAGAGTAAATGCACGTTCTTTAGTCAAAGAAACACATTTCTCATTAAACGCACATTGTGTTGCCTTTTTTAATTGCAGCCACGCTGTAGGCTATAAATCAAGGCTAAAGGCTCATTGGTTGAAAACCATCAAAGTGGTTGCATAGCTGATCTTTGACCTCTTTAGCTCTAGCCTGAGATGATGGAAAATTCCAAAGGATGTTTTAAATCAAAGATCACAGCAAACTGACTTTTATCAGATGGAGGAGGAATGGAGGTAAATCTTTATTTAATGTTGTTGAGATTAAGTAAAGCCAAAAGATTTGTGCAATGTTTGCTTTTTAAAAAGAAAAGAAAAGAAAAAACGTGTCCTGACAAGAACTAAACTCTAATTGTAGCCAAATGTGAGTTTTATGGAGTCGCAGACTCGACATAAGAATTTCTGGCCATGTGTTTGTGGTGGTGTTCAGGAAACTAAAGAATGACATCATCTTAGCTGTTTTTCTCCAAACCATGGAGACCAGAAAGCACAGAAACATGCTCGTGGGTTTATTTTCCCAAGGTGAAATGAGGATTATCTTTAATAGTGTTTATATATGGTCTGTGAAAGAAAGAGCATGTTGACTGAACGGATGAATGAAACTATAAACTGTTTTCCTTGTAAAGGAACAGTTCAGACTTTTTAAGGGAGGTTCTCTGGAAAGATTATGAACAATCAGAATCTTACATGATTAGTGGGCACATTATTGGTCACATTATAGCCATGAGCTTCTAAATTTGGCCAAAATTTAAACAATTTCTCCAAGCTGAGATTGTTCAAAGCGCCAGCTACAACAGGTAAGATATTGATTGTTCATAATCTTTCTACAGTACTACACTACAAATTATCTCAGGTATCAATTTTGGCTCATTTGGCCAACTATGAGCTTTTGCTGAAGTGATTGTTCATATTTTAAGTAGTACTTTCATTAAAAGGTATTTATTGCAGGTTTAATTTTTCCCAAAACATGACAAATGAAACAAGCATTTACAAAATTTTTTTTTTTTTTATTGTTATTTGGAGGGACAAGCTGTCAAAAATGGTTTAAATGAAAGAAACTTGTTTTTGAACAGCAGGTTAATGTGTGAAAATATGTAAAAAATAAAGCAGCTTTGTTTGCTCTGCAGGATCTTTCAAGCAGAAATATGCACAACACAAAAAGGCAAAAAAAAAAAAAAAAAAGTAAGACACGTTCTTTTGAAATAAAAAATATAAACCGTACTGTCATATATTACATTGATAAACACTCACTGTTGACTTTTTCTTCATGAGACGATGTTTTATACAAGAGAAATAACATTTGCTTGCAAAAAATTAGTGCCATCTTTGTGGCAACGCATATCGGATGAATTTAAAAGCAATAAAAATAAAGGCAAAAAGCGGATAATACAATTCCAATGTGCACAATGTGCACGTTTCAAAGTATACAATTAATCAGAACAAGTTTTACCAAACAGGACCTGCATGCATCATTTCTAAAGGGTCCAGAAAGCCTGTTAGAAACAGCTGAAAGGGTGGGATATGTACATCAACTCTTTTTGTGTCCCTCTGCGCTTCAACAGGCAACCACACAATCACCTCCGGTTTATGATTCATGAGGCAACTTTTCAAATTATTTCAGGTTTGTTTCTAGGTAAAAACTGTATAATATATGCAGTTTTTATCGCTTTACACCTGTACTTTATAGCATATTTTCACCCAAGTCACAGACTTCCAAAGGAAAATTCAGAGTACAATCAAATTGATTTTTTTGCCATTTCAGTTTTAGTGATATTTCTCCAAGTTATTTATTCATATGGCTGCCTATGAAAAATACTTCAGAATGCTAGAGAGCACTACCTTCATAAGAATACATTTCTCTATAATTCATATATTACAAAGGCTGTTTCCCAGATTGAAAATTACTCATTTTACTTTAATAAAATATTCAATTTGTCAGTGATTAGAATTCTTTCCTCGTCCTACATAAATTAGTTAGAAAATATTAGTTAATTTTTCTCTTGTTATATTAGAGGCAGCAATATAATAGAGCCATCATTTTGTTTCAGTGATTAGGGAGAATCCACAGTTTTCAGTCCCAAAAAGCTTAAATGGAAGCACTGAGCAGACACACACACACGCACACACACACTCACACAGGCAGGCACGGCTCCCCCTGATAAACAGGCACATCCAGTAAACTTTACAAAAGCCCGCGTTATTGCCAAAACTTCTTCAATTAAATAACCAACGAAGTAAAGACAGAATAACTTACAACAAAAAATGTTAAAACGCAGAAGAGAATACATATTAAATACTTTCTGATGGACGTGCGGTCCCGTTTCCCATAACAAAATACCAAAAATGTGTTGTGGAATAAAATAAAAATTAAAAAAAAATAAAAATGATTGCACTTTGAGGTAAGCAAACCACAGTGCTGTTTGAATGAATGGAGGCCTTTTTTTTCCTGAAATAATAAATACAAATAATGAAAATAATTTAAAGTAAAAAGGAAAACACAGGTACAGCTTTGATTTTAAGAGTACATGAGCAATAATTGTAGTTGCTCAGCTCATAAATAAGAAACTCCACAATTTAGCGTTGAACTGTTGAATTGACCCCAAACGACCAAAACAATGCCTATGCATACAGAACTACTTTCACAAATAAAGTGCTGATCAAGGAGCTTTTAGAGGGATTTTTTTTGTACTATTTAAGACCCTTCTGATTCTGAGGTGCACCTGCCTTTAAAGGGATAGTTCAGATCTTTGAAAATGGGGTTTATTGGAAAGGTTGTGTTTAGGCCTGTCACGATGTTTTGCTGGGTGACTGTCTCAGAAATTATTACGATAAACGAAAATCTTGTTTGAAATTTGAAATAATTACTAATGTCAAATTTAAGAAGAAATGTTGGTTAATTTTTGTGTTTAGTACCTTTTTAGACCACTGGATGGCAGTATAAGACTTTAAATTGAAGGATGGATAGTGAGGGAGCCAGCAACGTGTCTCTATGAAAAATGGGAGGTAGATCCCTTGACGTGACATGGGCTGTCTCTCCTGTTTTTCGGTTCTCAAAATGGCGGACGCTTGGTGTGGTTTGAACTCTTTAGCATTTGTCACACAAAGCTTTTAATTAAAAATAAATAAATAAATAAAAATAAAAATAAAAATCGGTAAACAAGTTCTCAGCTTATTTTTGCAAAGAACAACTTTTTAGACGAAGGCACGGGTTTCAACCGTGAATTTTGGAGCTTCAAAAAGACGGAGGTCCCCTCCCCCCCAAGGTTGGCCTGTTAGCTTAGCTCATAGTTTAGCTTCTTAGCTTAGCTGCTTTTAACGATCCAAAAAAGCGATTTTGGACGGTTAAAATGGATTTTAACGAGAAAAAAGAAAGGGAGAGGTCAGTGAAGAGCACCGGAGCAGAGCCTTTTTGTCATCCAGTGTCCAGTAGAGCGACACGAAGAAATGATAAAGCCGATAAATGAAAACAAGGTTGATAATTTTCATTTATCATGTGATTAATTGATTTATTGTTTATCGCGACAGGCCTAGTTGTGATCATGTAATCTCTTGTTGTAGATACCTCTTTGAATAATCTCAGTTTAGGGAAATTGTTCTGCCATAGGCCAATAGGCCATTATTACCAATACTACTGCAGATTGCTGCCATTTTAAAACAGCCCCAGTCCTAAAAATAGTCTTAGCATTATAGTTTAGGGAGAGCACTAATATGATATTCCTGCTAAAATATATTAATAATTTTGGATTGAACTAGCAATGGGAGGGCTACAGCTAGATGTTTGCATGTATGATCCTAAATTCCATGTAATGCAAGATTGATGGTGTTGTAAAATATAAGTGTTTGCATAAACCACTACAAGAGTTTTTCAGGTTGAACTTGTTTTGAAATGACAGTTTTGACTAGCCAGTTTCCCAACCAAGCAAAACTGAGATTGTTCCAAAAGCTATCTCTAACAGATAAGGTCATAACTCTTCATAACCTTTCCAGAGCACAACCGGTACACAAGACCTGAACATCCAGATTAGTGCTTGCAAAAGTTGTCTGGTTGCAAGCAGAAAGGCAGGACACAAACAGAACCGTGTTGCGATTCACTCGGGTTTCATATGAAGGCAATCACAGTAATGGTCACCACACATTGCCTCCAAAAGCTAGAAAGCTAGAAAAATATCCCTGAGGTGCACATTCAGCTGTGTTGAGATTCCTAACCTGGCCACGGTTGATTCCTGTCCGAGCATGTGGGTTGGTGATCTTGGTTTGGTTAAAAGAGCTTTCTTAGGATTTGAGAGTCATTGTTGCTTTCAGTGGGCCTGGTCACATTAATCTCCTGTCTTTTCACTTTTAACCCTAGCTGCCATCTCTCACAGCAATAATCCCGAACTGCTTGGCTAACATTTTCAAGGCAAGTCTGGAATCTGAACACGTATTAGGCAAGAGAGAAATCACAGCTTCCTCCAACATGTTTGACATCTTATGTGCGTTTTTCAGTCCCCTTCTAAACCCCTTAGTTTCTTAAACCGTTCACATGTTTTGTCAAACTTTCACAGATTCCATCACAGACAACTTCATGGCTTCCTCCATCAGCTGATTGTCTGTAAATGTAGCAGGGGGTTCTGGGACGGATTCTGAAAGGCCGATCAGAGACTCCAGGAGGCAGGTCCCGGGGTCACTCGCTGCAGGAAAGCTGGGATAACTAGGCAACTGAAACTGGAAATAGTTGTCCATGTGCTCATATTCCTTGAGGGAGTTGTAAAGCGAGCTGGGCCCCAAACACGGGAAGCCATCAAAGAATTCCAGGTCCGACTCAGATGAGAGGCTCAGGTCCATGTTGTAGCTTGCCATGCGGTCCACGGTGGGGGATGGGGTGTGTGGCACACTGCTACTGTGGAATAGGGCATTTCCCTGGTTGGCGTTCTCGTCCAAAAGTTCTGAAATGGCTGTAGCTCGATTGTCTGTAAGACTGTCTTCAGAGTCCAACAGTGCAGCGTCTATATTGTCATTTTCATCTGCAAAGTCCACCATGCTAAAGCTGCTAAACGCCTCTGTGGATGGCTGCTGTTTGGTTTGCGGTTGATGCGAGCAACAACTCTTTTTACTGTTCTTATCCCCGCTCTCTCCACTCTCCGTGTCGCTGAAACACAATATCCGGCTGAGGCCTTTCTCGTCAACGTCCAGTGGGCTTTGATGCTGGTTCTCGCCTGCCTCAGAGTCCTCGCTCTGATGAGACGAGTCCGATAAGTCTGTCATGTCACTGCTGCAGGTGTTCTCTCCAGCTGTTGCCAGCTTGGAGCTAAAGGGGAAGGAGGGCACCGTTGGTAGGGAAGAGGCCGCCGTAGTGTTCTCCTCCTCCTCTTCCTCTGTGCTGGACTGCTCCTCCAACCTCTTCTCCAGCTCCAATTTCATTATCGTGTGAATGTAATGGGTCTGTACTCGGGTGGAGTTGAACTCAATGCGACCCTCTGTGTTTCCGCAGCCATCTTTGGTGCAACCACATGGGAAGGAGGAATGGTCCATCTACAAAAACAGAAGAGGTGATTTTTTTTTTAATCAGACATTCTAGGTGTGCTTTTTTTAGTGGGGTCATGGGGTTAGGTTAAGGGTATGGTTTGGTTTAGGGTCAGCGTGTTAGGTTTGGGCAACAAAATCCTGGGTTACGGTGAAAGTCAGGTGGCTTTCTAGGTTCTTACCTGACATTTTATGCCAGCAAGGCTGCAGCTGCATGTCTCAGGCTCACAGAAACCCTGGCAGTCGCAACCACAGTTCTCCCTGGAAATCCTCAAGTCATGCAGCTGCTTCTTCTCGTCCTTGTCAATCTTCTTCACACCTGCTGCTTTGAGCAGTGCATAGCGCTGTTTAGATGGGTAAGGCTGGAGAAAGGAGCCCTCCTCCAGGTTGGCGCCACTGATGTCAACGTCCTGCTCCGGGATATCGTCCAGCGTCAGCTGATTCGCCTCCTCGCTTTCCTGGGTTCCATTCTTTGTCAGCTGAGGAAAAAACAGCGATTGTGCTTAGGTGACAAGCTGCTTAAGAGAATGACTTTTCGCTTGATTGATTTTAGATTCACGCAATCCTCACCTTCTGTTTAAGCGCTTCCAGCTTCTCTTCCCTGAGCCGGTTGAGGAGCTTCTCTCTGCGCAGGAGCCGCTGCTCCACAGCAAACTCTGCGAGCGTATATGTGTGGAGCGCGCTATGACGCTGCACCATGCCCAAAGTACATCCTCCTCGACTGGGAACACTGGTGAAGCCCTGGCACCGAGCGAAGGAGAACACAGTCACGTGGTCGAACGTCACATTGCCCCGCCTTGCCCTCTTGGATTTCTTGAGGATGGATGTTGCTGTAGATAAGACAAAACACCAGATTAAAATATGAACATTCCAAACAGACTAATATTGTAGAAAAAGATACTGCTGTATCATTTCCTGCCACTAGATGGCACAATGCTCCATAGTTTGTGTGCAAATGCTGCTGTATAGATTGTAAAAGGACACCACCTATGATGATACATTGCCCTGGCCTCATCGTGTACCCAATTAAATGATACTGCCAACAGTAGTCCAACGCACTTACATCCTGTTAGGTGAAACCTAAACTACTGGGAATTCATTGAGCTTTGTTTTTTGTGTTAGTGTGCAACCAAAGAAGCCAAGGAATTTATTGTATTGAATAGAACAGAGGAGAAAGTAGAACAGCACATACCATAAGGTAATAGTGCTTGGGGCTTCCAAGTGAGATGAAAGGAGGAAGTACAGCTCTGGAAAGAAGAAACAACAAACAACTTTCCCCATCTATCACTGGATAGTTGTCAACCAGCCCCCCAGACCTGTTATGGCTTTGCTGAATATTCCAGATCCACATCCATGAGCTATACCTTCCTATGTCCAGAGAAATGCCATAAAAAACATAATGAGGACTCAAGTGGAACCATATGTCAAAGACAAACCTCTAAAAGACTTCCTCCGCACAGGAATCTTAAACTTTTGAGCCTCACTTGAAAAAGAGAAGAAACCTTTTGTATGTGCAGGCTCAAGCTGTGAGCTTGTTTAAAGAAACCTTCGGTAAACCCCTATCCATATGGTGGCTATTACCGTACTATTGTGAACTCGTAGAAACCCAAGTGGTCGTCTTGTGACACTGGCATCGGTATTTACAAAAGTTGGACAAGAAAATGAACACATCCAATGTGACTGAACTTCAAGGAAAAAAGTAAACCTTTGTTCCAGCTGACATAAGCAGCACACAATAGCCTCACTATGTTGTTTAATCTGCTGCCAGATGAAACAAAATCCCCGGTTTAGCTCCACATTGATCACATTCAGTCAGGTTTATGACACCAACACGAGACAAATGACACCCTCCTCTACTGCTTCTAAAGAAAATATCTTCACAGGCTGTTCTTCTGCTTTCACGTCACAATGGCCAACATCTTTCTGTCCAACATAAACACCGGATCATAACAACCCACTCAATCAGCTCCTCTAGATGTATGTGCATGCCTCCAGTCTTGATCCCCCCGCATTTTTTTTTTTTTCTTTCTTCCCCGGTTTACCCAGCTTCTATCAGCACCTGCGTTGGGTGCACGCCCAGGTTTTAGACAAGGCGCTGTGTGTTCCTGGCCTTGGCAACTTGCCATGCTTCTCCTGGCTTCCTGCCCCACCATCCTGGAAAGCTCACAACGCTTGCCCTTCTCCTGTGCAACACAATCCCTGTCCGTCCCATTCCCTGTTCCCTAAAGACCGACTGGCGCACCCAAGTCCAGACGGAAACACCCTGAAGGAACATGACCTAAATCTCTGAAGGCAAGGCGTCAATCTGCAATGTTCATGGAGGAAAGTGGAGATGGAACCAAGGTGAGCAGCACCGGCATAATGCGATTAGCAGTTTTGCAGCTTTAGGGCATGAACCCAAAAGATTTATTCATTGCAGATGTCTAAAATAATTTCTGCAGTGTTTCATGAGCTGCCAGCAAGATAAATTGCTTAACCACTTCATTTTTTTTATGGATTGTTATCAGAGCTTCAGTGCAAGTTGGAAACCAGATTTAAATTGAAAAATGAGCATCCATCATCTTGTATTCGCACGATGCGCTGTGACAGAGAGGACACTCACTGGTGAAATTTGTTGACGGGGAGCTGGGGTTGCTGGGAGTGGAATCCAGAGTGTCGGAGTAGCAGCTCTCCCCTTCCGAGTCCCAGCCTGAGCAGGCAGAGGAGAGGGAAGAGGGTGAGGAGTAGCACGGGTCCTCATCCACCTCCTCAAACTTCCTCTTGAGAAGTCCACTCATGGTGCCGGTGTGAACAATCTGCAAGAAAAAGAGCAAAGAGAAGGGTTAGAAAAGAGACAGTTTAGCCAATTAGCTGCACTTTGTGCACAAATGACTCAATCTTTATGTAAAGAATTGAACAAACTGTGTTTTGCAATAAAGTTTCAGGAAAACACAGGACTTCTACAGTAGAGCTACACCAGAGTCCTCATGAGAGAATCAGAGTCTCATGCTGCTCTCAGATGAGGACACCAGGGCACAGGAAGCAATCAATCACTCCTATTTGCCTAAGTCAATAATTAGTGGGCCCTTCACGTCTTACAAATCCCATCAGCTCAGCAAATGCATTGATTAGGAAAAAAACTCTGAAAAAAGTGATCCAATCATCTAAACAGACATTTCTGTCATTCTCAAAACACTTGTTACAACCAGAGGGGAATTTGCCACTTGTCTGGTTTACATGCCCACCCCTGCTCTATGCATATATATGTAACATTTTTCCCCAGAGGGCCAATTCAAGATATTTCAAGCAATATGGCCATATGGAAAATGAATTTTCTTTAAGACAGACTTTGTTTCTTGTTACATAGCAGCCTACTCAATTAAAAAAAAAAAAAAAAAATACTTTTTGTAGACAGGCTCTTGTAATAATATACGCTAGCCTAAATGTGCTACAAAAAATGTTATTTATATATTTTTAATCTTCAAGACTAAATATATATATATTAAAAATGTATATTAAAAATGTATATTA